AATCTTAATAATCTAAATAAATTCTTAAATTGGTTAATTAACTATTCATTAACTATGAAATTTGCAAATGTGGTAACTTTTCTGTTCGGTTTAATCCTTCATTGTCATACGAATGCGTGGCAGATATACAGGGTGTCTGGCAATAATCGCCCCACCGGTCATATACAGGTAGAGGAGGTCAAATCGAGTAGAAAAGTCCTTTACCATTTTTTAATTTTCATAATAAGTACCGAGTAATTAACGAAAAAAGATCGGCAAATCCGCGCGAGTAAAGCGCGCGCGGTGAGAAGGACGTCCCACTGCTACGCGATCACTAGGACACAAGGATCTAGCGTTACGCGCCGCTCGTATGTTGCCATTGTCATTCGTAGAGCGCTCCTCCCAACGCTTCATCGCGCGCCTAGTGATCGCATAGCAGTGGGATGTCCTTCTCGCCGCGCGCGCTTTACTCGCGCGGATTCGCCGATCTTTTTTCGTTAATTACTCAGTACTTATTATGAAAATTAAAAATGGTAAAGGACTTTTCTACTCGATTTGACCTCCTCTACCTGTATATGACCGGTGGGGCGATTATTGCCAGACACCCTGTATATATATCGCATTTCACGTGTCAGGGTTCCAATAAAAATAAACTGCTTGGAATTTTTAAAATGATCATGAAAATACGTTAGTGCACATATTGTGTAAAGTTAAAGGTCAAAAAAATTAGTGTTAAATGCCTATATGCCAAGATATTGAAGGTAGTCGTTTTAAGAAAAATTTTTTTTTTTGACATTTGTAGTTAAAATTACAAAGTTACATAATTTTAATAAACATGACTTTTTTAGGATTTTTTCTGTACTTCCAGATAAAAATATTAATTTTTGCGGGAAAAAATTATTACTATAGAAAAAATCAATTTTTTAATTTTAAGTGAGTAATTGAGAAATTATATCCACTTTTAAAAATTTGAAAAAATTCTCAAAAATACTCCAATATATGTAGAATATGGTACGATAAAGGAAATTTTGGGATCGCTATGGGATCCATTCAAAAACGAGTATTTTTTCTACAACAAAATTGGCATTTTAGGTAAATCACTATAATCACAAACAGATTTTTTAAGATTCTTTCTTTTACAGTCAATTTTTCAATGTACTGTTGCTCGATTATTTGTTAGTGGTCGTAAAAAATGTTTATTTTCCTTATATAAAAGCGACATTGTCCTCGCATATAATAAAATTTTATATTATAACTTTCGTTCTCCTAGTTCATTAGTTGATCATGTAATGCAGTAAGTTTTTGGAACCAAGATTTGCATTAGCAAAACTTATTCCGGGTACATTAAAATATCATGCTACGAGTATTATTCCTGCGAGCAAAGATCAATTGATTTTAAAAGAATTTAGTTTTGATAAGAAACAAGATTATTTTTCAAAGAAAAAGAAAAAATAAATGAGTAAAAAATACAAAACGCGAAAACTTTAGCACTATTATATTTAAAAAAAAAATGGTATTATCGAGTAGTATTATCGAGTTTGGCAGAAATTTCGCTGAAATTCCAAATTTGTTTTGGAAAAAATATTCGTTTTTGAGTGAATCCCATTGCAATCCCAAAATTTCCTTTATCGTATCATATTCTACATATATTGGAGTATTTTTAAGAATTTTTTTAGATTTTTAAAAGTGGATATAATTTCTCAACTACTCACTTAAAATTAAAAAATTAATTTTTTCTATAGAAATAATTTTTTCTCGCTAAAACTGATATTTTTTATCTAAAAGTACGGAAAAAATCCTAAAAATTTCATGTTTATCAAAATTATGTAATTTTGTAATTTTATCTACAAATGTCAAAAAAAAGAAAAATTTCTTAAAACGACTACCTCTAATATCTTGGATCCAAGGCATATAACACTAATTTTTTTGATCTTTAACTTTACATAATATGCGCACTAACGTGTTTTTATGATCATTTTAAAAATCCCAAGCAGTTCATTTTAAGGTGGACCCCTGACACGTGAAATGGGACATTTTTTCGTACAATGCTTATTTTTCGAAATATTTAGTTGTCTCAAGTTAAATGGGACACCCTGTATATATGTATTCTTTTCGGTTTTAAATTGTAATTTTTTTATATGTATAATACATGCAATAACGGTGAAATTTTAGAAAATGCGAATTATGATCGATATGTGGAATATGCAACATTATTGACGAACATTTGCAACGTTATTCATAAACATTAAAAAAATTGTAATTAATGACAATTTTAAAATTATTATGACATAACATTGCTAACGCAATTGAGCGTTATAAATATCAAATATATTATAAAAAGAAAATACAATTGATTATTGATATATTGATTAACTGAGTTAAAAAATCTATTAAAATTTATCCGTTTCTGATGTCATGCTGTTTTTGATTATCGCGCTCTTGATTTTATTAAATAAATGACAATTTGTACTTAATAATTATGAATATCTTGTGAATTATAAAATAAAATTTTATTTTAATTTTTTTTATTTAATAATTATTTCTATAGGTGTTACTAAAACATTGGTGGACTATTAAAGTACATAATATAGTGAGTTTTGTTCTCGTTCACTTTTTCTCGACACATCTCGAAGGGAATAAAAATACCTATACTTTACTTAGCTATCTTTTTTCGTTTTGCAAACATGTTAATTATTATCTATTACTTTTATTGTTTTTTAAATGTTTTTATTAATGCTATTTGATGGAATTCGTTTTAGATGCTGATAATTCGACGTAATTCTTGTCTCCAACAAGCAAGATATAGATGACACGCAAAACAAAAATAAACACGGATTGACAGATTGTACGATCGAAAATTCGGTACCAATCGAATTGACCAACTTTTATATACTGATTTACACGCGTTTTATAATTTTCTTTTTCCTCGATCCTTGTTCACATGTCAATAATCCTTCAAAAATACTTAAGAGTAGCTTGACGGCAGTCAATAATCCTTCAAAAATACTTAAGAGTAGCTTGCCGGCAATAATGTTGGCGGCAGTAATAATCCTGGCCATCTTTATGGTGACACCACGTTCCATCTGGAAAGTATGGATCGATACCGGAGCTGAGTATTTCCAAGCGTGGTGCGTAGAAAGTAGATGGATTTTTTCGTCGGCAGCATATAGTACAGACCATCCACGGTTCCGAGACATTATAAGAGATTTGAACTCCTGGTTCTCTTTCCAGTTCGATCTTGAATTTTTGCTTTACATAACTGTTGAATTTAATGCATTTCATGACAGTAAACACGGAGATTGGCAGTCGACCTTTGGTGCAAAGCATCCAGTCTTCGCACAGGACCACGTCGTAATATGGCCCGCTGCAACTTGCTGTTCTGCGAAGTCCATGTCTGCAAGAACGTCGATTGACTCTTACACCTTTAGATTTCACTAGGCAGCTACTTTGACAGGTGCTTTCTTTCCATTTACTCCAGTTATCATCTTCACAATACTCGAGAATGTATGATGTATGACGGTCTCAGAATGGGTACGCATTCTCCACCACGACACTCCTTCCCGGGTGCACAATAAGTTCCTTAAAAAATGAGATTAATTAAGCTATGAACTGTTTGAGAGATCAGCGAGAGGAAACGCACCTTCCAACGCCGGTCCCGTGTAGTAATACTCATTCTTGCGAGGCGTTTTGCATTGTAAAATTTTACAAATATCAAGCAATAAGACTACATTGGCATTCTTGTCGCGAAAATATATTTCGCATTGTGCTTTGGCGGTCCATTTTCTTCCGGGTAAATCATAATAACACGAGTGGTCATACGCGTCTTCTAGATTTTTCGTATAATTTTGAAGACACTGTTCACTGTACTAGAGTTTTTCAGCTATATCGCGACTATGCTCAGATCATGTTGTCTGGTTTTGGTGCCCGCGTGGTGAAATTATGTATTGGTATTTTTCATCCTGGTTTGAATTGTGTTTCATTGCTAAACTTTAAAACAAATAAGTATTAATTTTGATAAAAAGCTTTACTTTGCATTGTTTATTTCAAATATTTATGTATTAAAACTTATTAATAATTAACATTCTGAGCAACTGAATTAAAGCTACTAATTAAGCAAACTGTACAGTTAATTACACTAAAGAACTAAATCTCTCTTAAAAAAAGTCTTTACATTTTACTTAAAAATTTTGCAAGTTATAAATTTCTTATAGAACGTATTGTTTATGTTTAATTTATAGTTAAAACAATTATAAACTTACACATGGCCGATTCCATGAGCAGCAGTAACAGACGATGTAAAACCCGAGAATAGCTTAACTGCAATATCGAATTCTACAATCGCGATGATTTAGTTAAGCTGCACACGCCGATTTGAGGTAGGCTAATCCTAAGGTGCCTAGAAGACCTTTCTTTTTCCAAAAAATATCTATTCCGATTATGTAAAGACTAATGTCCCAGTGGCGCGGATCATTATTGTCCGGAGGATTGCGAGTTTCCGCGTATTTGCAGAACGAATTGAGCAGTTTGCTAGCGTTGCCGTCAGAAACTGGCAAATTTGACGGTTGTTCTTTCATAATTTCTAAATATACCAATGAAATGTCGATAGAAATATCTAAACTCGGATGATGAAACACAGCTTGGATACGATTCACATACGCTAATATCATATTGCGCAACTTTCCGTTATTTTCATCTAGAAAAGATATGAACGTACGATATGCGGCTACGTCGAAGAAAACAGCCAGCTCTATAGTTAACTTTTCTTGCACATTTTGTACATGACGCCGCTTCAGTTTAAAATTATCAAAATCATGAAAACTTGAATCAGCAGATAATTGCAAAGATCTTTTAATGAGGTGAGATTTGCCAAATAAAACATTAATTTCTTCTTTAACGCAAAGATCGTCGATTGAGGACAACAACGCATGATCATCTCGCAAAGTTTTAATTTCTAATGTGTCGTTTTTGAAAAAAACAAATCCTTCCTACTTTAAAAAAAATATATGTTAAGTCCTTGCAAGTCATGTTTATATATAAAACAAAGAAAAATTGAGAATAAAAGTAAAAGCTATTTGCTTTTGATGTGGTACCACTAACCCATCCATATTCCTGACAAACGTTTATGGCCGCAGTACTGATACGATCTTTGTGAAAATAATAGCAAGGATCCGATGCATGTAAATTCTTTTGTGATGTCTTTTGCGTCATGTTTCCATACTTTATACGTAGACGATACATTCTTGTCGTTTCTTCGCAGGTTTAACTTAATCTGTTTTCCAAAAACTTTTAAAGTCAGTGGTATCTGTAAATTATATATGAGTTTAAAAAGATTTGATGATTCTCTAATAATATTTTGATAATTGAGCAATGAACGAAGCAATACAGTAAAACTCACGTACTTCCTCTATCTCTGTCGTATTCAATGCCGGCAGCAATATTCTTTCGATATCTTGCATAATATACGCTTGCGTTTCGTGTAATAAAAATATTAACACCAACTTCAACATGAAAAACATGTTGTTTATCTTGTTTTTCAATTATAACTACCGAAAAATGATTAGTTAACGTCTTCTTTACACATCAAATTACTTATGATATACGTACGTTATAATACTTTCATGTTTGTCATATGTTCTGATAGCGTATAGATCACACATACAGGCATCCAGACTTAGGAAAATCATTCGTATCGTGTGACACTTATTGTGTATATACTCTTTATGCTACATATACAGCGTGTCTCAACAAAATATATTCACAAGTTAACACCTGTCCATTTTGTTAAAATATCTAATAATAAAATGTATATACATTTTATTGGGACACCCTCTATATATTTCTTTATCTTTCTGGTTTTTAATTGTAAATATTATTGTATATAATACTTACGGAATGGTGAAATTTTAGAAAAATCGAATTATGATCGATATGTAGAATATGCCACATTATTCACAAACATTTTGACAGTTATTTATAAACGTTAAAAAAATTTAATTAATGACAATTTTAGAATTTTTATAACATAACATTGCTAACGCAATTTACGTTATAAATGTCAAATTTTATATAAAAGGAAAATACAATTGCTTACCGATATACTAAGTTAGAAAGTATATTGTGAAATTTCGATTTCTGACGTGCCGTATTCGGTTACCGAGTTAATGTGTTCAAGAAATAAATAACAATTTGTACTATATAATTTTGAAAATTATTAATTTTTGCAATAAAATTTTTTTCATTTTTTTATTTATTAATCGATCTTATGTAAGTATTGTATTAATAAAACATTAATAGACTATTAAATTACATAGTGAGTGACGTTATCGCATTCGTAGATTTTTTCTTTACAAATTGTGTGGTACGAAATAAAAGTATCTCTACTTTATTAAGCTATTTAGTTTTCCTTTTTGCAAACATATTAATTATTATCTGTTAAATTGTTTAATATGTTTTTACTAATGCTAATTGCCGAAATTCGATTTAGATATTATAATTTGACGTAATTTATTGACTCCATTAAACAAGGTATAGATGATACACAAAACAAATGTTAACACGACAGATTGTGCGATCGAAAATTCGGTACCAAACGAATTGACCAACTTTTCTATACTGATTTACGCGCATTTTATAATTTTCTTTTTCTTTGATACTTGTTTACACATGTTGATTATCCTTCAAAAATTCTTAAGAGTAGCTTTCAGGCAGACAGAAATGTTGTCGGCAATAATAATCCTGGCCATCTTTCTCATGACACCACGTTCCATCTGGAAAGTATGGATTAATATTAAGGTTGAGCATTTTCAAGCGTAGTGCGTCGATAGTAGACGAATCTTTTTGTTGGCAGTGTACAATACAGGCTATCCACGGTTTCTCAAAATCATGAGCGGCCTGCCATCCTAGCTCGAACTTAGGTGCTAGTTTAAACGTCAAGTTCTTAAACGATATGGTGGAAAGTTACTGAAAAATTTCATGCATTTTATTTTGATAAATGAGTCGATCGTCTTGCGTTTCTTAATGCAAGGTAAAGTATCATCGCACAGGACTACGTCGTAATATGGCCCTTGACAACTCGTCGTTCTGCGATTCCTATGTCTACAAAAACGTCGTTTGAGTTTTACACCTTTAGATTTCTCCAAGCAGATACTTTGACAGGTGCTTTCTTTCCATTCACTCCAGTTATCATCTTCACAATTCTCAAAAATGTACGGTGGTTCGATAACGGGTGCGCATTCTCCGCCACGACATTCCTTTCCGGGTGCACAATAAGTACCTTAAAAAATGAGATTAATTAAGCTATAAACTGTTTCAGTGATCAGCAACAGGAAATGTACCTTCCAATGCCGGTCCCGTGAAGGCATATAAATTATCATGAGGCGTTTCGCATTCTAAGGTTTTGCATATATCAAACAACGAGACTACGTTTGCATTCTTGTCGCGAAAATATATTTCGCATTGTGCTTTGGCGGTCCATTTTCTTCCGGGTAAGTCGTGATAACGTGAGTGGTCGAGTGATGTGTCACTTAGACATTTCGGTCTCGTCTGATCTCGAAGGCAATCTTTTTCATACCAGAGTTCTTCAGCTATACCACGACTACATTCGGATCATGTGACTTGACCTTGATAGTACTGGTCAGACGACATTATGTATTTGTACGCATCACACGGAATTTCATAATCGGAATCGTGTAACATTCCCAAACTTTCAAACAAATAAATTATTAATTTTGACAATGTGTTTTACTTTGCATTAATTATTCTAAATATTTAATTTTAATATTAATATTAAAATTAATTAATAATTATCATACTGAACAATTAAAAGAAAAAAATCTTTTAAAAAAGTTTCTTTGCTTTTTGATTGAAATTTAAACAATTCAATTAATTCTTATAAAACATATTATCATATTTACATTTGTATGTTGAACTAATTTATATGTCAAATTTTATATTTAAACTTACACATGACCGATCTCATGAGCAGCAGTGAGAGACGATGAAAAACCCGAGGATAGCTTATCTGGAATACCGAATTCTACTATCACACACGATTCATTCGAGTCGCATACGCTATCGACGTTTGATATTCCTATGCTACCTAGATCGTCTTCTTCTGTCGAATAAATATTTATTCCAGTTAAGTAAAGACTAACGTCCCAGTGATTCGGATCATTGTCGTCCGGAGGATTGCGAGTTGCCGCGTAATCGCAGAACGAATCAAGCAGTTTGTCATCGTTGCCGCCAAAAACTGGCAAATTTAAAGGTTGTTCATCCATAATTTCCAAATGTACCAATGAAATATCGATAGAAACACCCAAACTCGGATGATGAAATACAGCTTGAATACGATTCACGTACACTAATATCAACATGCGCAACGTTTCCTTATCTTCACCCAGAAAAGGCTTGAACGTACGATATGCGGCTTCGTCTAAGAAAACAGCCAGTTGCATAGTTAATTTTATTTGCGTATTTTGTACATGACGCCGCTTCATTACAAAATTATCCAAATGTGGAAAACTTGTATCAGCAAATGATTGCGATGATCTTTTAATAAGATGAGGTTTGCCAAATGAAATATTAACTTCTTCTTTGATGCAAAGATCATTCATAAAAGACAAAGACGCATGGTTATTCCGCAAAGTTTTAATTTCTAATGTGTCGTCTTTGAGAAAAACAAATCCTTCCTACTTTAAAAAAATATATGTTAAGTTCTTGAAAGTCATGTTTGTATATAAAACAAAGAGAAATTGCGATTAAAAGTAAAAGCTATTTGCTTTTGATGTGGTACCACTAACCCATCCATATTTCTGACAAACGTTTATGGCCGCTGTGCTGATACGAGTTTTGTGAAAATAATAGCAAGGATCTGATGCGTGTAATTCCGACAATCCTATTGTGATGTCTTTTGCGTCATGTTTCCATATTTTATACTTACAATTAGACGATACATTCTTGTCGTTTCTTCGCAGGTTTAACTTAATCTGTTTTCCAAAAACTTTTAAAGTCAGTGGTATCTGTAAATTATATAAGAATTTAAAAAGATTTGATAATTCTCTAATAATATTTCTAATAATATTATTTACTTGAATAATATTTTGATAATTGAGCAATGAACGAAGCAATACAGTAAAACTCACGTACTTCCTTTATCTCTGTCGTATTCAATGCCGGCAACAATATTCTTTCGATATCTTGCGTGGTATGCGCGTGCGTTTTGTTTAATAAAAATATTAACACCAATTTCAACATGAAAAACATGTTGTTTATTTCGTTTTTCAATTATAACTACCAAAAAATGTTTAGTTAACGTTTTTTTTACACATCAAATTACTTATGATATACGTACGTTATAATACTCACAGGTTTGTCGTATCTTCTGATCGCGTATAGATCACACATAGAGGCATCCAGATGTAGGAAAATCATTCGTATCGTGTGACACTTATTGTTTATATACTCTATATGCTACATATACAGGGTGTCTCAATGAAATGTATTCACATTTAACAGGTTAACGTCTGTCCATTTTGTTAAAATATCTAATAATAAAATATATATACATTTTATTGCGACACCCTCTATATATTTTTTTATCTTTCTGTTTTGAATTGTAAATTTCATTGTACATAATGCTTACTTGCAAAATAGTGGAATTTTAGAAAATTCGAATTATGATCGATATGTAGAATATGCCACATTATTCACAAACATTTTAACTGTTATTCATAAACGTTAAAAGAATTGTAATTAATAACAATTTTAAAATGATTATAACATAATATTGCTAACGCAATTTAGCGTTATGAATATCAAATTTAATATAAATGGAAAATACAATTTCTTACGGATTTACTAAGTTAGAAAGTATATTGTGAAATTTTGATTTCCGACGTGCCGTATTCGGTAACCGAGTTAATAAGTTGAAGAAATAAATAACAATTTGTACTAAATATTTTTGAAAATTATTTATTTTTGTAATCAAAAATATCCCTTTACTTTTTTGTTTATTAATCGTTCTATATAAGTATTATTGGAACATTGATAGACTATTATTAAAATACATTGTGAGTGATGTTCTTGCACTCGTGGATTTTCTCTGGATACATTGTGTTGAACGGAATAAAAGTATCTCTACTTTATTGAGCTATTTATTTCCCTTTTTGCAAACATATTAATTATTATCTGTTACTTTAATTGTTTATTATGTTTTTACTAATGCTAATTGCCGAAATTCGTTTTAAATATTATAATTGACGTAGTTTATTGTCTCCATCGAGCAAGATATAGATGATTCGCAAAACAAATGTTAACACGACAGATTGTGCTATCGAAGATTCGGTACCGAACGAATTCACCAACTTCTCTATACTGATTTACTTGCGTTTTATAATTTTCTTTTTCCTCGATCTTTGTTCACACATGTTGATAATTCCTCAAAATATGTTAAGAGTAGCTTGTCGGCAGACAATAATGTTGGCGGCAGTATAATCTTAGCCATCTTTATTGTGACACCACGTTCTATCTGGAAAGTATGGATTAATATTAAGGTTGAGCATTTCCAAGCGTGGTGCGTAAAGAGTAGACGAATCTTTTCGTTGGCAGTGTATGATACAGGCTATTTACGGTTTCTCGAAATCATGAGTAGTCTGCCATCATGATTCGAAGCTAGGTGCTAGCGCTTGTTAATGCTTCAAGCGCCATATTCTTAAACGGCATAGTGGATAAGTAATTGATAAATTCCATGCATTTCATTTTGGTAAATGAGTCGATCGTCTTGCGTTTCTTAATGCAAGGTAAATTATTATCGCACAAGACTACGTCGTAATATGGCCCTTGGCAACTCGTCGTTCTGCAATTCTTATGTTTGGAAGAACATCGTTTGAGTTTTACATCTTTAGATTTCTCCAAGCAGATACTTTGACAGGTGCCTTCTTTCCATTCACTTCAGTTATTATCTCCACAATTCTAAAAGATGTACGGTTTGATAACGGGTACGCATTCTCCGCTACGACATTTTTTCCCGGGCGCACAATAAGTTCCTTAAAAAATGAGATTAATTAAGCTATAAACTGTTTCAGCGATCAGCAACGGAAAATGTATCTTCCAATGCCGGTCCCGTGAAGGCATATAAATTATCATTAGGCGTTTCGCATTCTAAGTTCTTGCGTACATCAAGCAACAAGACTACGTTTGCATCCTTGTCGCGAAAATATATTTCGCATTATGCTTTAGCGGTTTATTTTTTTCCTGGTCAATCGTGATAACGCGAATGGTCGAGTGCGTCACCTAGACGTTTCGGTCTCGTTTGATCTCGAAGACAGTTCTTTTTGTACCAGAGTTCTTCAGCTATACCACGGCTGCATTCGGACCATGTGATTTGACTTTGAGGCTACTGTTCAGATGACATTATGTATTTGTATGCATCACACGGAATTTTATAATTGGAATCGTGTGTCATTCCTATATAAACTTTTAACCAAATAAATTATTAATTTTGACAATATGCTTTACTTTACATTGATTATTCTAAATATTTTAATTTTAAAATTAATTAATAATTATCATACTGAACATTTAAAGGAAAAAAATCTTCTAAAAAAGTTTCTTTGCTTTTTGATTGTAAATTAAACAATTCAAATAATTCTTATAAACCATATTATCATATTTAAACTTGTATGTTAAACTAATTTGTATGTTAATGTTTATATATAAACTTACACATGACCAATCTCATGAGCAACAGTGAAAGACGATTAAAAACCCGAGGTTAGTTTACCCGCAATACCGAATTTTACTACCGCATACGATCTAGTTAAGTTGCACGCGCCATTGTTGCGAGGTATTCCTAAGGTACCTAATTGCTGGGTACTTCCTTTCATCCAATAAATTTTGAATCCTGTTAAGTAAAGACCAACGTACCAATGGTTCCGATCATTGTCGTCCGCAGGATTGCCAGTTTCTGCGTATTTGCGTAATTGGAGAATGATTCGAAGAGTTTCTGACCGTCACCGCCAAAAATTGACAAATTTAAAGGTTGTTCATTCATAATTTCTAAATGTACCAATGAAATATCGATAGAAACACCCAAACTCAGATGATGAAGCACAGCTTGGATACGATTCACGTATGCTAATATCAACATGCGCAACATTTCCTTATCTTCATCCAGAAAAGGCACGAACGTACGATATGCGGCTTTATGCGGCTTCGTCTAATAAAACAGCTAGTTGCATAGTTAATTTTTTTTTGAGTATCTTGTACATGACGTTGCTTTATTACAAAATTATCCAAATTTGGAAAATTTGCGTTACCAAATGATTGCAATGATCATTTAATAAGATGAGGTTTGCCAAATGAAATATTAACTTCTTCTTTGATGCAAAGATCATTCATTAAAGACAAAGACGCAAAATTATCTCGCATAGGTCTAATTTCCAATGTGTCGTTTTTCATAAAAACGAATCCTTCCTACTTTAAAAAATATACATTAAGGTCCATGCTTATATGTAAAATAAAAGAAATTGAATATAAAAGTGGAAACTGTTTGTTTTTTTACATGACACCACTGACCCATCCATGTTCATGGAAGTTTATGGCCGCTGTGCTAATATGATCTTTGTGAAGATAATAGCAAGGATCCGATGCGTATGGTTGCGACAGATCTTCTGTGATGTCTTTTGCGTCATGTGTCTATACTTTAAACGTAGATACGATTTGGTTGTTTCTACGCAGGTATAACTGAATCTGTTTTCCAAAGACTTTCAGAGTTAACGTTATCTGTAAATTAGGTGACTATAAGTAAAGGATTTGATAGTTTTCGAATAATATTTTGGACATTAAGTAATAAATAAAGTAATACACTAAAACTCACGTACTTCCTCTGCGTCTGGCATATTCAATACGGGCAGCAATATTGTTTGGACATCTTGCTTGGTAGACGCGTACGGTTTATTTAATAAAATTATTAAGAAAACTTTTAAAAGAAAGAACATGTTCTTGCTTGTGTTTTTTTTTTTAATTTTGTACTTGAGAATGTGTAATTAACGCTTTTTTGTATATGAAATTATTTATCATATTGATACGTTATAACACTCTCACGTTCGTTGTGTCTTAGGAGGTCGCGTATAAAATACGTACAAGTATTTAGTTTTAGGAGTATCATTCGTGTGACATTTATTGTTTATGTGTGCATATACCTTTTATGCCATATATATATATT